CGCCACTTACCCAGGGCCAGCTCCATTATTTTGGAGGCCCCAGACAATATTTTAAGAGTTGGTTGTAATCGTATTTCCATATTTTAAATTTTTAGTTGAACAAATAATATTAAGCATTACCAATAATAAATACGAAAATACAATAAATATGAGAAACAAAAGTAATTAAACTAAGATAACAAAAGCTTACAACTTTCTCGTGTTCTTTTGTGCAAAAATTATCGATCAAGTCACTATAATCAAGTTTCACAACTATTTTTTCCGCATTCAACAAAGATCGTTTTTAGAGTTTATCATTGGAACTTCTATCTTTATCGTTAATAGGAGACATGACATTAGTAAGTTTAGTAACCCTTTCTCGACTATAAAAAATAGATACATGACATTCGTAACTCTAGTCACCTTTTCTTGACTAAAAAATAAAATCTTTCTTTGAGGCATATTATTATCCCAATTTTTAGAATTGATCAAGTCATTCGAATTTTCACAATTATTATCTGGGTAATGATTCATTTTCTCGATTTCATTTGTACTCTCTAAATTATTACTTTCTTCTTCAATAATTTCAACCCCTTCATCATTATCATCTAAATAAATTTAATCTGTTAAATAATGATCAATTTAAACTACGGGTGTATCATGTACTTCCAGTATAATTTTAATAGGATCAAACACTCGAACTTCTGCTACATGATTACTAGGTTTTACATAGCTATCCATAGATTGAGAGACTTTGCTAATATCTCTTGTTTTTATTTATTCTCCTTTTCGAACTTCCCGATTCGAATTTGCGTTTTTTCGTCATAACTCGTACAAAGATTCTAATCATAGAATAATATATTAACAAGTTTAATTACAATCAAAATTAACAAAAATTGTATATTAAAAGAAGTAAAACATTTAATATATAATTAGTGCATAAAAGTTTAAATCAAAAGCATGAAACTTCCAGATGTAATATGCTAATTGCTAAGTTAGATATAGTACTCTCCATATGTAAGTGACTTGAACCAAGAAATAATATGCTCCTTCATGCATTTTATTTTATTTTCCTCTTGGATGAAACTAAAAGACAATCAAAAGAGCCGCAATTCACTAGTTTGTTTTTATATTTCTAACTCTTAATTAATTTTGTAAATAGACAAAGCCCATACATACTATTATAAATAAAAAAAAAAATAAAAAAAAAATTATGAGGCCTCCCCATAATTGAGGCCCTGTCTATCTTGGCTGGCCCAACAGCCGGCTATGCACTTACCTCATGGTTCACTATTATTACTTATTACTTTTTCCGCCACTTATTTCAGGGTCCACAATTATTACTTATTACTTTTATCTATATGTGTACTATATAAAAATTAATTTTAGTAGCAATTTTTTATTGATTTTTTACTAAAAGTATTTAATTATTTTTTTTATCATTTGATAAATTTCATGAAAAATTAATTAGTAAATATTAATAGTAAAACGAATATGTTTTTAGTTTTCACATACTTTCTCTTATTCTTTTCATTTGTTTTTTAAATTTTCTCATCTTACTTAACTAGTGCGATGCACAGGTAAACAATATTAAATAGTATATATAAATTAAAGAGAAGAGTAAATAATATTATCCAATAATTATAAATTAAAAATGTGGGGTAGCATATATATGTAAGAAGTATTTAAAATATTCTATGTTCAACATAATTCTCATTTAACAGAAAATAGTGTAAATAACGCAAAAAGTCAAGCGTTCAGTATATACGCTAACACGACCCACATGCACGAAATCGTGATCGGACGGTCTAAATCGGTCAGAATGATCAACGGTCGCGAACAATCCATTTCACCCATAAAAAACAAAATATCTCCACTTTTTAGGGTTTTCATAAGATCCACCGCACATTTCATGTTTTTTCTTAACTTTGTTTCGTTCAATTCTAAAGAACGATTCACAAATTAACCTTGTGAAGTTTATCTTTTTGTTTTCAATAGACGATAGCTATTTTCAGAAATCATGTAAAAACAGTAAATCTTATGTTTTTTGTTCGAATTTCACCTGTTTTTCCAAATCTCAAGCAAATTCCTAGATTTGCATTGTGCCTGTTATTTGGATTTCAAAAATTAATACAAATCTCGTTTTAGTTTTTGTTTTCTTGTCCGAATCGCGAATTTTTATTTCGAAAAACATGGATTTCTGAGATATTTGTCGAGTTTTTGCTCAGATCTCAAAGTGTATTTCACAATTATTGATAGATATGGGAAAAATCCATAAGTTTCGTTCAATTTTCGTGAGTTTTATAGAACAAAAATGGTGATCTTGCTCGAATCAGTGAAATTTTGTTCGAATATGCGATTAATGTTTGATTTTTCTTGAAATTTTGAATGTTTTTACCAAAACCCTTTAAATTGGACATGAATTTTTGTTAATGTTCAGATCAAACAAAAATTTTCCACACAAAGGTCACAGTAAGGGTGGGGCTAGATTATGTGTTACGAATTTTGCTTATTTTTTAAAAGTCCAATGCAAATTTGGGATGTATACATTTTCTTCCTATTTTCAAAATTAGACTTCAAATTTCATTTTTATGTTCAGATCTCAGTGACAATACATGCTTAAATTTATCAAATTTTGTTACCAAATGCACCGCGAGAGTTACCAAATGCAAGCCAATGTCATGTAAGATAAAACAAAATTGGATTGTATGATATGAAACTGAATTTTTATTAGATAAACAAATAGTACTATATGATATGGAAATCGAGATTTTCTAAATTATGTTAACATTAATTATTTTTAATTGGAAAATATTATAATACAGTGAATTATAATATTATAATATTTTTAAGTGTCCAAAAATTTACAGAATCCTCCATTTAAGGAATGATTAGCTTGTCGATTTTGAGATTTGAATTGCCGATATTTAAGGAATGATTAGCTTGTCAATTTTGAGATTTGAATTGCCGATATTTAAGACTTGGAAATTTGAATGGCTAATTTTGATATTTGATTTTTAAAAAACTCACGAAATCAGGCAACATTAAATGCTGCCCAATGTATTAAAAAAAATAAAAAACAAATTTAAATAAAACTTTCCGAAAAAGGAATCCAACTAATATTCCGGGATTTTTTGGTTGCTAGTTTCGATAAATGATTATTTTTATTATATATAGAGAGAGATATATACAAAATTCTATTTCGAAAGGTACAATTAAATAATGTTACTATTAGTTATTAAAAAAAGTCAATTGCAGTCAACTGATTTTGAGTTTCAGTTTATCGTTATTATTTAGTTTTCTTATATATGAAACTAGTAAATTTTTTACTTTCACGATAGAAAATATTAAATTTTAATTGAATATTATATACTCCAATGAATTAATATATATATATATATATATATATATTTAAGTAAATAAAAACGTTAAAGTTTTAACCTTTATTTTTTATTTTTAAAGAAGAAAATATTTTCCCCTCCTTTTCATTTGTTATTTTGAAGATAAAAAAATTAGTTATAATTATATTTTAATTTTCACATCTTTTATTATAGCTAGTAACATTATAATTTGTCTTTATGAACCTATTAAAACAAAAAAACAACCAAAGAGAAGATTTAGCATATTTGGTCCAGGGCCAAATAAAGTTGGACCGGGCTTTGACCCATCGGATTTATATACTTTTAACTTTTAAGTACATCAGTAACAAAAATGTGAAAAATAAATATGGTCTTTTATGCAAAAAAAGTGAGTGGAAATAGTTGTTGTGGGTCTATCTATTATTACAAAGTCATAGTAATAGTGAAGTGATCAACCACTTGATCAAATCAAAGTCCCTTGGTTGGAATTTTGTGACATGGCTGCTTTTGGAGATCTATATTGTTCAAATGCGTGTGTATATATATGGGCTAGCAAAAGAGAATAAGGATAGTGGAGAAAATTATAGAAAGCAGACAGAGGAGAGAAATAGAGAAAGCAGAAGAAAAAATAAGAACATGATAGTTCGTTCAAGAAAAAATGTTTGTTATCAAAATAATAAAAGAGAGAAAAAAGAAGATAATTTTATTAGTCATATAAAAATCATTTCAATTTTAAGTGCTCAGTTCTCAATTCCGTTCTAGTTCGTCGGAGCTCGTAAGTCTGGTGTGCTATAGATTTCGAGACGATTGCCGTTATATCTTTAGGGACGATACGCCTGAACCGTCAACACTTACGGGGCGTATTCGTCTTGCGGAAATAGTTTACTCGCCTTGCTATAATCTTTATGTTTAATTTTCAAGCTGTAATTTATTTTCAGTTGTATTGTAATATTTTTTATTTTTAGTTCATTTGTAAGAATTAAAAAATATACTTTAGTTCGTATGATTCTCGTGTATTTCGACACTCAATTTCTAACATTTTATTTAATTATTAAAACCAGAAAGTATATATATTTAACAATTAACACGGCGAATATAAATGTCGAACTTCATTTATTCAGAGGAACCAAACCACTAGGTAACAACCGACGTATTTCCTAGTTCAGTAGCTTTTAACTGCTGTTGTTGACATTTTGTGCACGTCAAACCATAGCAGAGCCCGACTTTTTCTAAATAGCAATAATCTCACTTTATTTCCCAACTTTTACAGCAAACACACCGTCACAGATAGTACTAATTTACAGCCCATATTTTTATGAGTTGTTAATTAAACTTATTCAATTATATCATTAATTTTTCATTTTGCTCGGTTGACATTAATTTTGAGTCAAACCCGTGAGACCCGTGACTTTTCTCCATAATTTCACCCCAGTAATCTTGATTTATTTAGTAAACTTTTACAACCACACTTAATTTACAGCCCCACGTGAAATTCATTGAATTATATTACATTTATAGTTTTTTTATACTAAATGTCTTTTGCATCCCAATTAAATTATTTAAAATTCCACCGCATTTGACCTATTAATATTATTATGATGCAGATCCAGGTGTGGACACTCGGGTCTGGTTTGTCCAATGAGAGCTGCCACAGACCCGACAAAAGCGGCGTTCATATACGTCGTGGGCTCCAGGTGCGAGAAATCGGTTCTCGAGTCGGTAAACTGGTCATTTGGGCCTGGGCCTCCAACTACTGCGCCCACATGAGTATTTGGGTTTGGGTTGGGGAAATTGTACCAAGCTGAAAGTCCATCTGAGCAGCCCACTTTGGCAGGATGGTTGCGGATCGAAGGGATTGAGGCGCCCCTGTGGTGTAATTGGGTCGGGTATTTGGCGCCAAATCCAACCATATATGACATGTTCAGGGGATTGGCTCCAAGAATGTAGTCCACCTGCAAAACCCAATAGTTCGGTACTTCGGTTTAAAGCTTTCCTTGCTATTTTCAAAACTATCGTTTTCATTAAATTAAATTAATGATGGAGAAAAATTAAATCATCTCTTAAAAAACCTAACCCTTAATTCAATAGTGTTATACCTATAGCAGTTAGCTATCATATAACACAATTATCACACACATTTCTTTTTCTTTTTATAATATTTTTCTTTCATAGGCAATACCATTAATTTGAATGCAAAAATTCAATTTTGGTTATCAAAATTTAATATTGTTGGAAATTGATATTGAAAAAAATAATTGATGATAATCAAAATTTAACGTACAAAAAATTGAAGTTGGACATATTAATTGATTAACCAAAATCGAAAAATTTATCAAGTTAAAAGACTAAAATTACAATTTTGCTGCCACGACCCTTGCCATGTAGCATGTCACATGGCAGTATTCAAAATTTATCACACCATATTACTAGCTAGTCCCAACTTCTAGGATTAGTGTATCAAAACTAGATAAAATTGTAAATTAACAAACTTTAGTTTATAACAAACTTTATTCCAATAACCTGTGATTTTGCAAAGGCTTTGATATCGGTGGGTGAAAAATTAACCGATCCACAACGAACTCCATCAAGACGAGCCTCGGTTAGAATCTTGGAGTAGACGAGAAGCAGCATTGTGGCACTCGTAACATATTGTAGGTTACTACTGTCTCTTGTATACAGAAGCCCGCCTGCAATACGATTACACGTGCATATCTAATTTTACATATCTCTCTCTATATTCATGATGAAAAGATCATGATAATGTCTTGATTCAAATTAGCTACCAGGGGTTGTCCTGATCTGGACAGAGCTACTTTCCGGCATCAAGGCACAGACAAATGAATCGGCACCGGTCTTATATGTTGACAGAGTTATTTTTCCAGCAAGATATTCCTGCAATACAAAATTTCTAAGAAAATGTTGTCAATAGTCACATAAATAAAAGTAGGGGAATTTTTCGTAATATTTTTACATATGAATAGTTGAATAATGAATACTAGCCTTTACTAGTAAGATTTGAGCTCCGGCAAATTTGTTGTCCCAACTAAATTCGTTAACAGCTTGGCTCCAGTCCTTATTTGTGGAGACATAGTTGAGATATGTGTCATTACCACTAGCTCTGTACAGCCAAGCTGCTGCCCAGATTAATTCATCCTGGGACATCGTTTTAAACCATAATTAGTAGGCATTAATATTTCAAAAATAATAATAATAATTAATGAATGTTACCTGATAACCCGAGAAGGAGCAGTAAAATGGGCAAGACCCCTGATAAGAACCTCTATATTTATCCGCAAACTCAAATAGCTGCCGAGTGATCAGGGGCATGAATCAAGTAATTTGAATTGCAAAATATACCTTGTAATTTAGGGCAAATGATAATTATGTCCAATAATTTTCACGATTCTATAAAATACATATGAACCAAACAAAGGGCGAACATAAATTTACCATTTATCCCAACTTAATTACAAGGCATAATTTATATTTTTAGCTCATAATAGAGTATATATGATACTGACCGATTTGGAATTCGTAATGAGCGTGGCGGAGTAGTTTGAATCAGCCGCTCTGAACACAATAGATGCGGCGGCTAAGGCGGCCGCAGCCTCGGCAGCCGCCTCTGTTCCCGGCGAAGTTGGAGTGACTTTATAAAGGGTACGAGGCGTGTCCATATCCTCCGCCGCTCCCAGCACGCGTGGTCCCTATTCGCCTCACCCACCTATCAATCAAACCAATAATGATTATATGAAAATGTTTAATAAATAATTACATATTTTTAAGCCTAGCGAGCTTGACCTGAGTGTAGAATGTGGTAGAAGAAGTGTGGGCTTTTAGTAAGAAATCTGTTCCCCATCTTATCGACATTTGGAGGTTGCTAAGCTGATGGGCCGATTGTAACTCGTTTTCGTATTCAACAGCGGCCCAACTCAATAAGCCTACTGAAAACGCCATGGGCCACCCAAACTTCACGTTATCGCCTGCATCATAGTAGCCTTCACTCAAATCGACCTAAAATTTAGTAGGACACAAAAAAATTTAAGTTAAAAATCCACATACTCGAGACTCTTAAAAGTGTTTCTGAACTAATTTTTACGCATACTCATCTCTAAGGTTGTATGATTTAGTTGGGTAAAAGGAAATTAACTATAGAAAAGAAAATAAAGGTATAATTAAAAATCATTTGTTAAGACCAAGAAGAGTAAATAAGGTGATTTATCGAGTCTTGTAATTAATTAGTTATGGTGATACGACCCAAAATTACACCAACATAAGTGTTTTTTTGCGAACACAACGCAAGCAACTTGGTTCAGATCGAGATCAACACAATGATTAAAGCTCAAACAATTAATCGAGTTTGTTTATTAAACGAGTTGAGTAGACCTTGTTCACCAAAAAACTTAATTTTTTATAGGTTCAAACCAACAGTAGAGTCAAGAATGTTCGCAACTGCACAAATCGTATTCACGAACAACTGTTTACGGTTTTGAATTTGTTAAACAAGTTGAATCGAACTTTCATAAGCTTAAATGAGCCGATAACATTTATTAAAGTAGCATGTGTTCAAACACGAAATGCTTGGCTTGGTTCGATTCGACTCAAATAATAATCGTATAGACAGGGGCAAAATATCGTTATCGGACCATTAAAGCATGTTGAACTAAAATAAATAAAGAACAGTCGATTTTTTTTTTTTTTTTTTTTTTTTTTTTNTTTTAAATATGTGGCCTTATGTATGACCGTACATTTTCGAGTTTGCCATCTGAGAGTGCAGAATCTGCCCTCCACATGACTCTTTGGTTTGCAGGCAACTTTCCGGAACGTTGGCCCTCGAAGAACAAAATTCCTTTGCTTAGAGCATCAGAATAGTCAAAATTAGAGGTGCACATATGGTGATTATTATTAGTATTCTTTATGGAATTTGCAGAGTACCAAATAATACAAAACATAGAAAACCAAGTGAAAACATGGGAATTGTAAACCATTTTTTGTTTATGAATATTGAACAATGGATGGTACTGAAATTATGAACGTTTTGATCCACTTGAATTGCTATATATAGAGTTACGTACAAGAGAGTAGCTATAGTTAATTTGCATTAGAATATACGAATATATGTACGTTGATGGGCAGAGATACATCTCATATTTGATAAAGCATATAAAAATAAGCTAGTCTTATGATAACCGAAAATACTTGTTTAAGAAAAAAAAAACTTGAGATTCAACTCTAGACGTTTTAATTACAATTATTTTGCATCATAAAGTGCCCGAAATAGCTAGGAATATAGCCCAACCTCGTAAGGATAATGGATATCGTGTATCTTTTCTTTCGTTGGATTCTAAAAGAATTCAATCATCTTAATTAAATTCGTTTCCAAAAGTTAATTTGCTGAATTAATTAGTGGAAAAATAAAAGATTTTCTTTTACAATTTTCTTTTATATTTCTTGAATTATGTACTTTTCTAGTTACGTACTAATAGATTTTCATTTTAATTGTGTTGCAATAAACTCCTTTACCATCGCATACAGTCAATAGTGTTATCATCCACAATCGTGGTATTGCAAGATTAAATGCATCAAATAAAATAGGACATGGGCAATTAGGCGTGGCGTGAGGTACTGAAAAGGTATGTAAATGCCATCACAATTATTTGATACTATTAATGGGTAGGAAAATATTTTAAATGTGCCCCATAAGGCATAATTGATGAATTGGTATACAAAGATAGTTTCATTTGACTTTAAATAATTAATTAATTGTAATCTCATCATAATTTTTAAAATTAATCAATTCGAAGATAATTTGGACCAATAATCCAAATTTCGGCCGGAAATTAAGGCGTCATACATCAATAATTATTTATTTTTATTTTTTGGTGCAAATATTTGTGGATTTCTAGCAAAAATTTGACAAATCATGAATAAGCCAAAAACTTCCGATCAAAATTGTCATCTAATTCATTACTTTCAAAAATTTATGTACTATTATTATTTAATTAATAAATATTTCCGACAAAATTAAGTTTTATACCATCCCTTACAGTTACCCACACGCATGGAATATTTGCACCGGAGCTATCAAACTCAAGATAACACCTATATATCACGATTTGGTTGAGCCTATACTCCTAATTGCATCATGGCTGTAATAATTATATATAGATATATATATATATATATATGAACACTATATATTGTACGTAAATCCATGCTAAATATTTAATCAGGATACGACTATATATACATATTTTTGTGTTGAGTTGCATGAGAAAAAGTTTTAGAGAAATTGATGAGATCATTGAATTTAATTGATGAATTTTAATTGTTGAAGCCCGAGAAAACACTCATTTGCCTAAAGCTTAGTACTCAATTATTATCTTATTTCTGATGAGGCATAATCTTCATGATCCAAGGAAAACATATGATGTGTATCTTCAATTTCTACCTATATGTGATCTATATAATTATTACTATGTAATGTAATGTGATTTTCCTTTTTTTTTTCAATAATTTATTTTTATATTTTTGTTTTCCTTAAGAAATACCTAATATACCGAACAGTTTGTTAGCTGAATGGTTACCATGATTGACAGTTTGATCTGGATAATGTGCTAAAAGTATGGAGCGTAAGTACCAAGAGTAGAGGACTGCCATTTTAATTTCTAGATGAATGATCATGACGTCATATTTGGTTTCTAGAGAATTTATAATTATTGTTAATTTTTTTTTTCCATTTCTTATCTTATCATAATCTTGAGTTATATAGCCTATAAATTATTAATAGTGGTCCAGTATGAGTATGGTTTCTCTGCTTTTCTTTCCATCATTTTCTAAACAACCCTAACAACATCATTTCTTGGTTCTCCCCTCAAGATAACTCCAGTGGTAGTTGTCTTACACCACTTTTTAATCCATTGTACTCTATTTTTTTTATTTTTATTTTTTACCCTCTTTAATTTTCAACCAATTGTCCACACCCATAATTTCTCGCATATTCTAATTTGACACACAAACATAGACCGTGTCATCTATTCGGGCACGTCTGCTGTAAGGGAGTTGAACAGATCAAATTAATTAGGTGAACTGTTGTTGGCTTTGTCAAAAGACACAAACCCAAAAGGACCTCTATATCACCCCTATATTCAACAACAAGCTAGCTTCTTAAATGATATGTTGCAATTTTTATGCATGAAAATTTATTTAAATTTTTTAATTTCTCACCTAACCAGCTATAAATATAATTTGATCCATAGATCATCAAAATCACTTGAATTAACCCCAACAAACTCTCTTGATAATAATAATCCTTGTCTTGCATGGAAGGAGAAAATTTTCCCTATTTTTTCGTCCCGCCTTCTTTTCCATTATCGGACTCGTTAAATATTGATTCGAAAGATGCCAATAATTTGTTGGACCAATCCATGCAAAACCCTCAATTGTTCCCTACTTCCAATGAGATTGATTTGTCTAGTTTTTTGTCCGGTGAGTCGTGTCAAGAAAACTCGATGAGTTTGCCAGTGCCGAGCAATGTGAGGGAAGCTGAGGATAATGTTGTGAGAAATAAGCCAAAATTGGGTAGGAAAAAGAAGTACATTCCTCCAAGAGTGGCATTTCACACGAGGACTGCTGAAGATATACTTGATGATGGGTACAAATGGAGAAAGTATGGGCAGAAATCTGTTAAGAATAGCGTCCATCCAAGGTATATATATATTTTTTATTATTTTTTTCTGAAATCAATTATATTTATGGAAGTTATTTTTCTAGATATAGTTGTATCACATGCCTGGATGATCATACCTGTTTGCATTAATATAAATTAGTCATGATCAGCGGTTGATATTAAGGGAAAAAAGGAGAGAACAAAAAAAAAAAAGGATAATAATAGATGCTTGTATCAAATTATTATCCTTTTATCGCTCCATTTGCATAGAGTGCTACATTCTCTTCATCACTTTATCTGGTCACAGCCATAATAACTCGAGTAGAAATATTTAAATTGAGTGAACCGCGAGTTGGAGAATGACACGCATACTATTTTATTTTAGCCCACATTTCAATTATTTTTCTTGATGGAATTACACAAACGTAAATCATCCAACAAAAATTCAAATTACTTAATAGAATCTTGCAGTGGTGCATCCCGCAATCATGTACCAGCCGGCTTTTTAATATCGCGTCATGATGCAGAGTAATTTTGAAATATAAACAAATTTTATCTTACTTTTTGTTCGAAAAGCTTTACAATAATAACTCAACATACTATGTTGAAGAAAGAACAA